GAAGATTGTCCATCGTTTAACTATTTTAAATATTTAAGAGTAAATTCTTATTACCCCCAAACTTGTTAAGGTAATGCAGGAATACTACCACTTTTATTATGCTATACTCCTAAGTCCTAATTCCTAAGTTTCAAATTCGCACAAAAGTTCATATACTTAACTGAAATAAACAAGGTGTTTAAAACGATAACACACAATTTCTTATGGGGCAACAGTAAATATAAAGGACTTGGAGTACGTAGTTGAATTTGCAGCGGAGTGACAGCTGTGGACAATGGCAATACAGGAGGCAGAAGGCAATCTATTTACGTGGGTCCAGCAAATATTTTCTCGTCCCCCAATCGGGGGCCCAGGTTTGATTATCAATTTATTAAGGCTTTGTTTGTTTTCTTTTTTTATAGTTTTTTCAGAATTATTAATTAATAACTGTCCCATCTTGGTATACTTTTTTATATTTTCAATACATCTTTTTACACTTCCAATACAAAAAACACTTAAAAACACACACTGAAAAAACGAAACAAACATACCCTAAGTTTTTCTGTTTTCTTTAATTTTATTAGATGAGTATAATTTCGTGGAATGTACAAGGGGCAGGTTCGCCGAAATTCAGACCTGCTGTCAAAAATTTAATTAAAAAATATAAACCTGAGGTGTTGGTAATACTGGAACCTCGTATTAGTGGGGAGGATGCTAGGACAGCGATAAGGAGGTTGGGGTTCAGCAACTCGTATGTGGAGTAGGCAATCGGCTTTGCAGGAGGTATCTGGGTACTCTGAAATGAGAAATGTATAAAATTGGATATACTGTTTTCGGCTAGACAGTGTGTGCATTTTAGATGGGAGCTGGGAACGAATGGAGGATTATGCACAGCAGTATACGCCTCACCGGCTGCTCAAGTTAGAACAGTATTATGGCAGGACCTACTTGGCTTGAAAAATTAAGTATTGGAGCCATGGGAAGTGTTAGGCGATTTGAATGTATACCTAAGTGCCGAGGAAAAGATAGGGGGTGCCTCAGTCAACACAGCAAAATGCCGGGAGCTGAATGAGTTCCTTCATGGTAACAGTCTTATAGATATGGGGTTTAATGGTTTGAAGTTTACTTGGAAAAAGGCAAAAACAATAATCTTCAGGAAAGGTTGGATAGGGCCTTATGCAACCCAGAGTGGAGGCTATGTTTCCCGGGGAGTTCACTGAATCACTTATGCAGAGTGAAATTTGATCATCGTCCGATTCAGTTGAAACTTTATCAAAATCTGACACCATCTTTGGAGGAGAGGCCGTTTCGGTTCCAAGCATGCTGGTTAACAGACTCAGATTTTGAGTAGTTTATCAGGACAACGTGGAGGGAGAATCTGGCTATAGTGAGGCAGAAGAGGATCTCATGTGTAAACTGATTAACTGGAACAAGAAAATACTTGGAAATATCTTTGAAAGGAAGAAAAGGCTCATGAATGAACTGGACAGGTTAGACAAAAAAATTGAGGAAAGACCGTTGGAGTGGTTGTGTGCGCAGGGAGACGCGGATCATGAGAAATTGAAGTAAACCTTAATTCAGGAGGAAATTCTATGCTTCCAGAAGTCGAGAACTAAATAACTGTAATTCGGCGATAGAGATACTAGGTACTTCCACCTATCTACTCTGACCAAAAGGAGACGTGGAAAAATAGAAAGACTGAGAGATGACACCGGCGAATGGGTTCAGAATCAGGCCCAACTGAAAAACATGGCTGTAGATTTTTACAAGAAACTGTTTACGAGAGACGAGGGACAGGGGGGCCAACAGTGTTTTTCAAATACTGCCTTATAAGGCAGTATTTGAAAAGGGGCCTTATAAGGCCCCGGGTCCGGATGGTTGGAGTCCGATTTTTTCCAATCTCAGTGGGCTACTATCAGGCAAAGTGTGACTGAGTTTGTAATCAAATGCTTTCAAGAAGGAAGGGTACCAGAGAAGTTTAATAAAACCCTACTGGTGCTTATACCCAAGATCAAACAGCCGACCTATTTGACATATCTCCGTCCTATCAGTCTTTGTAACGTAATCTACAAGGTAGTTACGAAGCTGTTGGCTAACAGGCTAAGGCCACTGATGGGGAGTCTTATAAGGAATAAGCAAACAAGTTTCGTCCCGGGCCGTAAGCTGGTGGACAATGCGTTATTGTTCAGGAAGTCGTGCACTCAATGAGAATGAAGAAAGGAAAGAAGTGTTGGATGGCAGTCAAGGTTGACCTGGAGAAAGCCTATGATAGGCTGGACTGGGGATTTATAAGGAAGGTTTTAGGGGCTGTTGGCCTACCTACACATCTAATCAGTTTGATCATGCATTGCATCTCTACAACCTCCATGAAAATCATTTGGAATGGAGGCATGTATGAAATTTAGACATCTTCAAGAAGAATTAGACAGGGAGACTCTCTTTCTCCTTATTTATATGTGCTTTGTATGGAAGTTTTATCTCATAGTATTTCATTTGCAGTAGATAGCAAACAGTGACAGGGTATCATGATAGGTAAAGGACCCGTAATTTCACACTTATTTTTTGCAGATGACTTGTTTTTTTCCAGAAGTATCAATTGAGCAAGTGCTTGTAATGCAAAAGGTGTTGTCTGAGTTTTGCAGGGTTTCAGGGGAGAAGGTCAATTCTGAAAAAACAAAGGTGTTCTTTTTCGGGCAACACTCCAACAAGGTTGAGGAAGGCCATCAGGGAAAAATTCGGATATGGGGAGACGACGAATCTTGGAAAGTACTTGGGATCACCTATCATACACGGAAGGATTACGAAATCCACATATAACGATTTGGTGGAAAAAGTTAGAGCGAAGCTATTCAGTTGGAAGGCCAATCAACTATCTCTAGCGGGACGGATGACACTAGCACAAACATGTCTACAGACGATTCCAATGTTTTCAGATGCAATCAACTAGGCTCCTGATGCATATTTGTGATGAGGTGGACAAACTTATAAGAAACTTTGTGTGGGGGTCAACAACGGACAAAAAGAAGACGTACTTAGTGAATTGTGATACAATTTGTTGTTCCAAAGAGAGAGGGGGACTGGGATTACGAAAAGCCAGGGAAACAATTATTGCGTTCTTAATGAAGATAGGCTGGGAGCTAGTGTGCAAGGAGGATGAACTTTGGGTACAAGTTCTGAGAGCCAAGTACTGCAAGCAAGAGCATGGTAGTCTACGCTTAAAAAGGAGAAGAAATGCATCCCCCACCTGGAAAGGCGTGTTCGATGTGTTCCATTTTGTGCAAATGGGCCTCACTTGGAATATTGGAAACGGTAGAAGGGTTCGATTCTAGGAAGATAACTGGATAAAGGGTGTGGGAAGACTAGGCTGCCAGGTGGTTAATCCGATCCCGAAGGAGTGGAAGTTGAGGCCGGTGATTGATTTTGTTACTGCAAATGGGAGTTGGGATGTTGCGCGGTTGGAACCATACTTGAGCAGGGAGTTGGTGGACAAAGTGCAAAGCATGCCTCCTCCCATGGAATCACTGGGAAGGGATACACCGACATGGATGTTTAATAAAAAAGGTAAATTCTCCATTAAGTCGGCGTACAATTTGGTATTTGCTGAATCCGTTTTACAGGTTGACAGGGACTGGAATAGAGTATGGCGGTGAAAGGGACCCCAGAGGATAAAAATGTTTTTGTGACGAGCACTCCATGGAAGGCTTCCTAGAAACGAGTTATGCAAATGAAGGGGGACTGTGTTGTCGGAGATCTATGGTCAGAGAGTCTGGTGGCTGGTGGTCAGGAGTCAACATTGCATGTGCTGCGGGATTGCCCTATGGTCAGAGAGTCTGGTGGCTGTTGATTCCACCCGGCAGGAGGCAACACTTTTTTCAACAAGATTTGAAAGAATGGCTGAGGAACAACATGCAGAATGATGATTTAAATTGGCATGCGAATTTTGGTGTCACCTGTTGGCTACTTGAGCAGAAGGAATGACAGTATTTTTAATGGGAGAGTGACAAATTCGGCTGGCGTTGTTAGGGCTTCGGTACGCAAATCAGAAGAGATCAAGAGAGCCAGAGGATGCTTAAATGGCATGGGAGATCTAGAAACAGAAAGGAGGAGCAAGGCTGGGTTAAACCTCCAAGTTCTTGGTGCAAAATGAACTGCGGCGGGGCTGTTTGTACGGCAACTGGGCAAGCAGCAATAGGGGGTATTCTTAGGGATGAAACGGGACATTTTTTGGTGGCTTTTAACAAGAATGAAGGCCAATGCTCCATAGAAATAACAGAACTCCGGGCCATACTTCTCAGAATGCAGGTGGCAAGGAACAAAGGGTGCACTAAGTTGTTGGTAGAGTCCAACTCCATATTTGCGATCGAATTGGTGAATCGCATAAGGGAGCTATCAACCATGCCCCTTGACCCAGAATTCAGGGGCATCTTTGCTCTTTTGAGAGTAGATTAGGAGGTGAAATTCGTATACACGATTAGAGAGAATAATATATGTGCGGATATACTCGCCAAGCAAGCTTTGAATGTAAATAGGGGGATATATTTTTTTGATTCGCCCCATGTTTTATATCTCTGTTATTAAATTTAGAAGTAGAGATGCCCTCTGCTATGTAATTTTGCGTAACCTTAGCTATTAGGCTAAGTTTGTTAACCAAAAAAAAAAAAAGTTAGAGGATAATAAGAAGCTACCATTTTTCTTGAAAAAAAAGGGTACCATTTTTCCAAAATAAATTTTCTCAAAATATTACTTACATATACCTACAAGTCAAGTTGGATGCTAAATATAAATAAAGTAATAATTTTTAGTTCATGAAAAAGAGCGTATTGGTAAAAATTTATCAAAGAAAAAAATAAAAGAGAATATTTTGCACCGGAATCTGCGACCGATAAAACCCTCTGTATAAGACGCCCCTATATATAGATGCGCATTTGGGCTGGGAGCCATAAAATACACACATTAATCGTTACCCTAAAATTCACATCCTTTCTGTAAACTTTCTGCTGAGCTCACGCCACCGGCTAACAATGGCGCCAAGACGACGGCCAATTTGGACTTTCATGGTATGCTGTAGAAAGCTTCCTCCTGCCTTCGAGAGGTTCTTCAGAATCAAAGGGATCGGTTCGTCCATGTGCGGGAAAATTTTTTTCGTATCTCCTGATTTTGTTCGATTTGCGGATTATAGATGTGGTTTGGGAAGTCCGTCCCTCTTGGTAGGTTTGCTAATTGCCTGTATTCTAATACTACTTCATTCACCGCAGACAATGTAACTGATGGAAAGGAATTAAACTAAACTGAAACTATGAACTGCTCATTGACATTACTAATAAGTGTAGATGCTGGTACTTTAGGCTGCTTTTGAATTCCTTAATTGCTTGAAGTTCATAGGATCAAAAACTGATTATTTAGGTGATTCTGGTCTTGAACTGCATGTTGTTGGTTTATAATGGTAGACAACAGCAGCTCTCTGTACATCCTTAAACTGATATGAATTTGCCGCCTTACTGATATTACTTTTGTGGTTGTTATCAAATTCATAGTTCATTTTTTTTTTGGTTCTCGTTGTTTTATGTTCTGTTCTAATGCTTTTCTATAGGATATGCTGAAAGCCTGAAAGAGACGTATATTTGACTCCAGGTATTATATTCCGAAGTAAAAAAATTCATAGAAAAGAACGATTGACGATCACATCTTTATCGAACTGATACTATCAATGTCAAACAAACCTTGTTTGGGAAAGATCTTACTGAAGTCCTACTCCCATTCATCAATACCCAGCTAGATTAGTATTTTTAGTATTTCACTATTTCTTGAGTTCCCTTTACTTTTCGCCTTGTTCTTTTTCTGTTTGGCTTTGAGTTCGTATGACCCGATTTCTTTGAACTACTATTATAACTCGATTTTCATTTCTCGGCTTTTGAAGGTCAACACAAAGAATCCAAAACTTGAGGCCAGCTCATTGATAGAGCCCTCAACAAGCTTTTGAGGATGATGGAGGATGTTGAAGATCTTGACAAGTTCTTGAATCAATTTGGTATTGAAATCCTTCTAAAGTTGTTTTTTTACGGGTGGGGTTTTTATTTTTTTTTCTTGCTTTTGGGATGTATCTGATATATACTTTTTTTTTTCTGTTGTTCTTCCGTGTTTCTATTGTTAGCTACCTGTCCTTCGGCGAATGATTCCATGGGTCATCTCAGACAAATGGTCGAGAATGAAGTCTAATGGGTCTCACACCCACAAATTTTGCCTTGAAGATCTTGCCATGGAGATGGTTAACAACGTGAAGGAACTGACCAGGCTTTCCTATTTTAAGCAAAGAATCGTGCTCAGGCGTGATGGTAAAGATTTGAAGGATCTTGAAACCTGGGACGTGTTTTCTACTAACGCTCTCGCAAAACTTTGGTAAGCTTTTCTGTTTTTTAAACATGTATGATGTTTAATTTTATTAGAGATTTACTTTTTAACTATGCCCTTTTGATAATATTTGATCTCTGTGTTCGATTTAATTCATATGAATGTTTGGGCGAAGAGAAAATTGGATTTCTACGGTTTGTGTATATGGTTGCCTATGGATTTTGTGTGTGGACGTTAATGGTATACTATCGTCTTCTTCTGCATTTTGTACGGCTTTGAGAACTGCTTCAGTAGCCATTTTCCATGGAGTGGCGGCCGGAATATTCCTTGTTTCCAGTCTGTTTTGGACTTTAATTTGATTGCCATAAACGTTGAAAAATGGTGTCAGAAACCTGGATTTTTGCTTTCTTTTGTTTTTAACCAACAACATTTCATTTTACTTTCTTTTACTTTTGGTGGTAAACATTTTGCACAAGTGTACGATTTTGGAAATGGAAAAAGTTTGTGTCATACTAGCTAGAAATATTTAACTTGGATTTGGTTAACATTTTGTTGCTTAACATGATGTACAAACTATACAAAGGTGATTTAATCATATGTATATTAACATGTGTATTATATTTCCAACTTCATTTTACTTACTTCCAGACGTTATGATGCTCTTTGATTTATACATTTTCATTACTGACTTTTTCTCCCTCTCTTTTTTTTTTTTTTGTTTTTTTTGGTTCTGTTGTTTTATTAGATGTCCAGAGATCACCCCAGGAGGAGGAGGAAGTACGCATAGAGTTAGTCCTTTTGTTGAAGACGGCATATGTTTTGATCCGTCTGTTTTAGGGGTTTTGTGGCCTAATGAGTGTAATTGGGGACGTTGTTTTTGGAAATTAGACGAAGATTATGACCAAGAACCATATTATAAACGCAGGAGTCTCTTATGTAACTAGCAAATTTGTTTCAGTTTTGTGTGTTCTTTTTTTAACCTTTGTAGTGCCAACGCTGAATCGTTTCTTGGTCGTTAGTATTGTTTCCACTTTTATTTTAATTTCTTTTAATTCGTTTTGTCTAATATGCTATTTTTGAAAGTTGGCTCAATTCATCTTGAAAAGTAAAATTATGTAATTGTTCCAGCCATATCCACTTTTGGCCTAATTAGCTTTAACTCTTTCACACAGATGCTTGGATTAACCTAGGACTAATTAATTATTAGCACAAATGAAACCATTTTAGAATGATACCCACAGTAAAAGATTGTATCATTTATTTATGGAATTCACTGATACGTAAAGCTACTCCATCATTTAGTACTGTTCAACAATTTCAATTTGAACTTGGCAACTCTAGCTAGTTGAGGGATTGCCAGATTTCCCTACCGGCCCACCGGACGATCCCTGATGATTGGAGTTTGGGCGGCCAAAAGTTTTGGCAACTTGGCTGGAATATTTGGTCCGTCAGTAATCCACATGCATGGCGGCTGTCATGGAGAACGTTATAGGCGACTACAAATTACGTAATTATGGAAACCTTGCCATGCATTAAGCTATCTACATGTTAAATTCATTTTTTCCTCAATAAATACAGAGTAAGTAAGATGGTCGTTCCACACATTTTGGGTCCACCGGAAGCAGAAAGTGAAGAAGATCCAAAAAAATATCTTCTGCACTTTTTCTTCACATATTTTCCTCACTACTCTCTTATGATCTTGTGCGGTGGCAGAGCTAGAAAATCTAAATAGGGGGTGCGGAATTTAGACAAACCTACTAATGAATTAGAAAATTAATGTAGAGGGTGTGAAAATTATAAATATGTAAATTTTTATTAAAAAATTTAGGTCATCTCTAGTAATTATAAAAACTTGAGCAGGTGCGACCTCACCCCTCCGCCCCTCTAGCTCCGCCACTGATCTTGTGAATTTGTAGGATTCTGGTTGTAATTGTAAATAATCAAGCTTCACATTATCTTATGTTAACTAATTGATGCAGCAATTTTGTAATAAGACCCAAGACAGTAATACTTTTACACTAACAATTTTTGTAGTAAATTATTTTTTGGGTGATCACCTTAATGAATCCTTTGTGGCGATAACTCATGGAGCCGTGATCAAACTTTACGTGGAATTTTGTATTTATTCGTTTATATTGAACAATAATTTCTGATAAAATAATTGTCCTGCATCGGTGTCGTGAGAGATTTTACATCAATATATAATATACATGGGTTACTCCCCTCATTACCAATTGGTTTTGAGGTGGAACCTTATGGGTTTCTATAATTTCGACAAAGGAGTATTAAGATTTATTACTAAGAATACATTAGCCTCTCCTCATATGTTAAAAATGAAAATAAAATAAAGGGGGAGAATGAGCCTTTTCATCCCAAGGTTTGAGCCACACCATCTAAAACATCCCAAAGTTTAAAAGCATGCCATTTTCATCCCAAACTTTTTAAAAATATGTAATATTAGGACATTTGTTAAATTTTTCAAGTTATTAATATTCAGTTTCTTTTCTCCCATTTTTTTAGTAAAAAAAGTTTCATGCTTGCGTTTGCTAAATTTGGTCCATGCCAAGCAAAAAAGTCGCATGTCCCTTCATCAATTACAACACTAATTTTTATAATGATGCTACATATTTAAAAAAATAAATGAAATAGGGCTTACATTCTAATTAGGACAGACACAAAACCTCTCATGATTGTTATCAATCTAGAAGGTGAATCTTGGAATTTTTTTTTCTTTTTCTAAGCAAGGGAAGAATGGATGATGTGAAGACCAAATTAGGTTTAGCTATTTTCTTATAAGGTGAGAGTTAGTGGAACGTGTTAAATGATTAAAAGAATTGGGGGAGGAGAAACAGAATAAAGTACCACTACTAATTAATTAAGTGGAGTTAAAAATTTAACGAATATCCTAATGTAATATGTTTTTAAAAAGTTTGGGATGTAAATGGCATGTTCTTAAATTTTGGGATGTTTTGGTTGGTGTGGCCCAAACTTTAGGATGAAAAGACCCATTTTTTCAAATAAAGGGTGTTATTTTGAATTTTGGAAGGCTGGAAATGGAAGAAGGGCACAAAAAGAAACCGAGAGATATTCCGATCCAAGATATTTGCGCGTGGGATCCGGATCCAAATGATAAGTGGAGAATCCACTGCGTATTGACACGTCATATAGGTAGACCCAGTTAGCAAACGTGGACCTAATCATGGACCCCACTATTTATTCCTCCCTTCTTCCTCACGAGACCTTCGTTGCCCCCTTCAGACTTCAGTTTCTCCTCTGAACAAACTCGAATCGGAAATTCATCAAAATTGCAAGGGAGAAATTTTTATTAGATTAAAACCCGGAAAATAAGAGGAAACTTTCAGTCCCATAAAACTTTCCTTAATTACAATTTGGAGATTTTAATTTTTTTTCCCTGGTGTATTAGCTCAAAAAATTTGTTTCTATTTTATTTATTTACTTTTTTTTTTTTAAGAAAAAAATTTCCACATTGAATGGTCATACGTAGATTTAGGACTTTTAGATCCGGAATTCTTTCTAGCTCGTCGGCTCTCTAAAATTGACAGAGACAATTAGATTTCCAATTTTTTTTTTTTTTGTAATTTAATTTAATTTAATTCATTCTTTTAGTTTTTGAATTTTGCAATACCGTGCATCGTTGGATGCGAATAAAATCGGAGGATTGGATTCTTTTGTGAGCTAATTCAGTCAGGTATGCCGCACCCTATAAAGATATTATTATTGCCTGAATTTTTTTTGATCGTTTGGTTTAATCCGACATCTGGGGTCCTGTTGAGTCTTTATGATAGAAAATTTGCATTCTTCTCACATATTTTGATGTTTTTTGCTGTGAATCTTCGGTTAATTTGGCAATGTGGGTTGTTTTCTGCTCAGGTTGTTTGATTTTTGGATCTCGGTTGTGTAAGATTTAATTGGAATTTCTCCAGCTGCAACAAGGGTCATCGGGATATATTTTGTTCATGCATTTGGCCTTTAATGGTAATAAAGGCGTTGGATGTGAAGGGCAAATTTGTATAGGGTGTTGAAACAAATTTGAAAGGTTGAAACTTTACATTTTTGTCTCGTCCTATGTTTCTGTTGATTGGTCTGATTTAAAGGGTAATATTAAGATTTTTACTGGGTGGAGTTTGTATATTGTTCGAGTTTTGGTATTTCGAGGCAATGTTGCCTAGTTTTAGGCCACAATTAAGCAGAACTGGCGCGAGATAGGTTGGGTTTTGGTTCAGGTTTTAGGAAGAGATTGTGCAGTTTCCTGTACAGAAGCAGGGGACTGCCAATCGGAATGGGTTGCATTTGCTCCAAAGGTGCTTCCACAAAACTGAAGCACCCTAAGGAGAAAGAATCAAAAAAGGCATCTTCCAAAAGATTTATTGCGTCGTCTAAAAGGGAGGAACTTGTAGTGGATGTTGACGGTGGTGCAAATGATGGAACTGCTCGGCTGATAACTACCGAGAACATTGAAAAGAGTGCAGGCTCAACTCCTCCTCTCGAAGAGGGGGAGAAAGCGGCGGTTGTTGTCAAAAAACCGGTTGAGCCTCATAAGGTTGGAAATGGTGAGATTATAAATGTAATGGATGGCGGACAGCCTCAGATATCTAGGTTGTTTAGCGTTCGAGATGGTGTTGATGGGGCACAAGCCGTAGCTGGATGGCCTTCTTGGCTTACAGCAGTGGCAGGGGAAGCTATAAAAGGCTGGTTACCTCGAAAGGCTGACTCATTTGAGAAGTTGGAGAAGGTATATCACTAAACCCTCCAGGTTGTCCCTTGTAGCTTCATACAGTGATAAACTTGATTTATTGGTTAGCTTAAATCATCCTCTGAAATTGCTGGACATTAATTTTGGTGAAGTTTAACATAATCTGATGATTCATAAGTGCATGAGGCACTCATATTCTGATCTAGTTTCTGGTTGAAAAAATGAAAATTGCTGTGTTTTTTTTTTGAACTGTATCATCAATAATCCTTTTCTAAGTTGTCATTTGTACTATCAGATTGCATTCTCCTGCCATTTCGTGTTCCTTTTTGAGTGCTTGTATCTTCGTTGAGTTTAGCAAACACTTACATATTCATGCAAATATTAGCTCTAGCATGTGGCAAGGCACTGTTGTCTCCAAAATACAGGATGCATGAAGCAATGTCCCTAGTTATCTCAATTGACTCAAGAGAATGGCTTTGAGCTTTACTGCCTTCGATCACTATTCTGGTCATGACAAGTTATAATTTTCTTGATGCAGATTGGTCAAGGGACATATAGCAGTGTCTACAGAGCTCGTGACCTTGAAACAGGAAAAATTGTTGCATTGAAGAAGGTGCGGTTTGTCAATATGGATCCAGAAAGTGTTCGATTTATGGCTAGGGAAATTCTTATTCTGCGAAGACTGGAGCATCCAAATATCATGAGGCTGGAAGGTTTAGTCACGTCGAGGGTCTCATGCAATTTGTACCTTGTGTTTGAGTATATGGAGCATGATCTAGCTGGTCTTGCTGCATCACCAAAGATTAAATTTACTGAAGCACAGGTTCGTTCCCTATTGTCTTTTGGCTTGCAATTATAGTATGATTCCATGAATTACCGAAATGATTCATTAGGCCCCCCTTTTCTCTGAAGGCCCAAACCAAATATTGAGCTGAAAATTTGGCAACCTTTAATCTTCTTTGCATCATTTGCCAACCGTTTCACTTGTAGCTGCATTTATTGGATCCAAATTAATTGATATAGTGTAGGAATTTGCCAGTTTCATATGGTTTACAGAGAAATCTGGATTGTTTGGATATTATCTACTTTTGTATGTTAGCCTCTTGTTTTGGCCTGTATTCACAAATCACCTACAAGTCTGACTGTTTAATCTTAAATTTCCGCTTGAGGTGATTCAAGCATTTTAGACTTTGTGGAATTTCTTCGTGTTTCTCATTTTGGATAACTTGTTAGCTTTTGTTTCTCACAGTGGATATTGTGTCATTGTTTGTCAGATTAAGTGCTACATGCAACAACTTCTTCGAGGACTAGAACACTGCCATAATCGCGGGGTTTTACACCGTGACATCAAAGGTTCAAATCTTCTAATTGACAACCATGGAAACCTGAAGATTGGTGATTTTGGTCTGGCCACATTTTATCGTGCCAATCAAAGGCAGCCTTTGACAAGTCGTGTTGTTACTTTATGGTATCGGCCTCCTGAGCTTTTGCTTGGCGCTACCGATTATGGACCAGCTGTAGATTTGTGGAGTTCAGGTTGCATCTTAGCAGAAATGTTTCACGGAAAACCTATAATGCCTGGAAGAACAGAGGTATTTATTACATTTCAGATCCTCAAAGCAGAGTTCCATGAATGAGAACACCATGTTATATGTGTCCGAATTTTAAGAAAAGGAAATGGATACGACTATTTATGAAATTCTGTATAAAGTGAAAATCTGAAACTCTTTGGCAATGGAAATTGATTTAATGGTGAGAGGCGCTTCCTTTTAGACTTACGGGAGCCTTTTTGGACCATCCTTAGGTGATTAAACTCGTGTTTTCTCAAAGAAAAGTTTTACCGGTCAAAGAAAGGTTTTGTGTTACTCGTCATTTAAAGTGCATTTAATGTCATTTAAATTGCATTGAATTTCTTTCCAGAAGAGTACTTGATAACTTCTTTATATTCCCCATATAATATTTTCCGTATTTCATTTATATGCTTCTATGCTATGAGGTGAGCCTTTGTCATGCATTGCACTGTGGTCTCTAGTTTAGAGCTGAACTTGTTGGTCTGCTGACCTAACTTGTTGCGCAGGTTGAGCAGTTGCACAAAATATTTAAACTTTGTGGTTCACCGTCTGAAGAATATTGGAAAAAATCAAAACTTCCTCATGCTACTATTTTTAAACCTCAACATCCATATAAGCGTACTGTGGCTGAAACATTCAAGGATTTCCCACCTTCAGCTATGACACTTTTGGACTCCCTTCTTGCTTTTGAGCCTGAGTGCCGAGGATCTGCATCTGCTGCACTACAAAGCGAGGTATGCTGTTTGTTTTGTAGTAATTTGGTGCATAACTTGCCTCCTTTTGTTTTCCTTATCAACTTGTATCATTTGTGACCACTTTTGTCTCCACATTTCTGGATGAATTGGTCAATTCTAGTTTCTTTTGCACTGTTTCTTAATTGCAATCTGATTTTTGGCTCAGATCCTAAAGCACCTTTTTTTTTTCCCGGAACTTTGCTGCCTATTTCTTTCAAGTGACACAATAATTGGTTTTAATAGAATTAACTTCATTTATTACTGTCACGTAGTATTTTTTAGAACTTAGAAGTGATGGTGTCATGTGTCTAAATGTGTTCACGCTGGTTACTGGTTTGGATTGAAGATGGAGAATGTACATTACTAGCATTAATTTAATTTAAAAGTTAGTTTAGATGGAAAACTTTCTTCTGTTGGTTTTGTCTTCTTACCCTTGTACAATTTTACAGTTCTTCACAACAAAACCTCTTCCTTGTGAGCCCTCAAGTTTGCCAAAATATCCACCAACAAAGGAACTTGATGCCAAGATTCGGGATGAAGAAGCTAGAAGGTACACATTGTGTGTTTAATAGCTTTTTTGCCAAGTGTAGTGTCCATCTTTTCCTTTCTAGTATAGTCTGACACTGATAACGTTGCATGAGGGAAAGTATTCCTGACAATGTAACGGCTCTGCTTGCAAGGATACTGCCTTAATCTTGGTCATCAATTATTTTGTTACGGAAAATTTCAGTAGAACTGTTTGTTGTCTGTATGAGAAATGTTAATGCAAGCAGCTCTGGGATTGGGTTTTATTAATTCACTACTGGTTCCTGTTGGAAGAATGAATCTGTATTTCCATCCTTTCACAACCAAATGCTGTAGTTGTCAAGATAATTATTTGACTATCAAGGACTTGGCTTACTAAAATTGACGAGCTTTGGTTTCTTGGTCTGAATTTAATCTCCTCTTCCATGACAGCCGGCAAAAAGCTGCGGGTAGTAAAGGACGTGGACCGGAATCTTCCAGAAAAGGTTCTAAGGAATCCAAAGCTGTTCCGGCACCTGATGCTAATGCTGAGCTTCCAGCATCTATTCAGGTAGTGTCTCCATAGCAAAGCCTATCCTGACTTGCACAGACATAAGATTTTTTACTCTTTAATTCCACTTTCACTTGTGCTGTCTGTAATGTCTCTAAAGTTACATGTAATATAACCCATGAGTTGATCTTTCCTATTCCCCTCTCCCAATCCAGAAATGGCAGGCACAGTCCAACCAAAAAAGTAACAGTGAGAAGTTTAATCCTGGTGAAGATGGTGGTTCTGGCTTCCCAATTGAGCCTTCTGGAAGATCTTTAACTAAAGGTTATTTCACGAACAATGGTACATCCGGCGAAAGTATGGATATGAGTAGGTACGGTGCAGAGTCTAGAGCGCAAAGACATATGAAACCACAAGGAGCAGCATCTCAGCTCTCTAGGTTTTCCAACTCAGTTGCATCTCGTGGGAGTTCTTACTTTGATCTTGGTAGAGGAGAAAGTACCCATTCTCAATGGACAGATGATCGTCAAAGTTCTAAATATGACCGCATAAATGATATTGGTTCTTCACACCATTTGCTTGGAGGAACAAGCTCAACACATAAGAAGGATGAGCCTCGAAAAGAGTCTAAAGGGGTATGAATGTGTTATTTAAAGTTTTTAACTTCTCTCCAGTCAGCAAGTCTTATAGTAATTTGCCAGCTAGGTTTGGTTCATGTAGTTTATTGCACAACCAAGACTGCAATCCATTCACACCCTTTCCCCACTAAGCACTCTCTTCTCTAACTCACCTGCCCTTGAGATAAATATCATTTTGAAACTTGATTTTGTTGTTTTATGACAGGCTACAGCTCTAAAGAAGTCAAGGATTCACTACTCCGGACCATTGCTTCCCCCTGGTGGAAATATCGACGAAATGCTAAAAGAACATGAGAGGCAAATACAGCATGCAGTTCGCAAAGCTCGTGAAAAGAACAAGACCACAAAAGCCTATTCAGACAATGGACAAACAGAATCACTGTTGCAATATGTTGGAAATGGCAGATGAAAAGTTGTTCAGAACCGACAACCCACCTTTTGATAGGATACAGCAACATGGTAGAGTGTTTTGGATTGACATGGGACTGTTTCAGAGATTAAGCAAATCTCACCGGCATGATAGAAGCACTGTGATGGGGGGTTAATTTAGGGGCTGCATTAGCTAGCCACCTTCAGAAGGCCCTCCTTGATGGAAAAGCAGTCAGATTCCAGTAGCTTTAACATCCACAGCAAAGTTCCATGCGTAAAAGCAATTGTCAATGCGAAACGATGGATGGCCTGGATGGAGGTGGATGCCAAGAACAAATCCACGGTTGTTAGATGTGGAAGAAACCTTCATTGATGATGTATGGATGCTGGGCAGGTGGCAATCCTCTTGTACAGCATTTGCTATATTCTTTCTTCTATAAAAAAAAAAAAGTAATGGCTAAGCCATTCATTCATGCACATATTTTGAATTAAGGAACACAATCCAGCAAGAGAAGTATATACTATATAGTTAGATCATAGAGCATTTTTGGGGCGAACTCAATGATTGCAGACTGGCAGAACATTGAAGCAATCTGCTAAGTTCTCTGCCTAGGAAAAATAGCAATAGTGCACGATACATATATTAGGGAAACTAAGATGATGTTTTGTTGTTCGAGAATATATGTTCAAGGAAAAAAGAAGAGGAACTTTATGAAATCTTTTTGGAAGTTGAAGGAATCGCCTCTCATCGAGCGATGAAGTGCAATACAGATTAGTCATTACTCCTACAAAACCTAAACTCCTACAAAACCTAATACAACCATGTATATTGCACGGCTGGTGATTACTGTTTCCCTTATCACTGAAACTTATATATCGAGATATGTTTACTTTAAAACTCTTAATTCTATCCTTAGACACAATCAGAAGTTCAAATAGACAGGTGGAAACTTAGTCTGTACAGTATTTTCGTTTTCTGATCCTTCATTATCTGATGCTTCCTTAAATTGACTGGTGTCTTACAGGTAGCTCAGAACAATGATTCCTTAATTCATCTCAAAATGTTTTAAACAAATTAACACAAGTCATAAGCATCCCTCTTCCAAAACTCTGAAAATCTCCCACCAAACTTATTGCAGATCTACCAGCAGCTATCTTGCTTCATCCAAACTCTTTTTTAGTTTCTTTGTCTTCATCCCTTCATGTCTAAGCATTACTACACCAGCCCAACCCCTTTTTTAATATTGTTGGCAATCTCCATCTACTCAGCATTTATAATCTTTATATCTTGGAAGCAGTTATAGACCCTTTTGCGCTACTGACTCCTCTTCCCTTGGAGAAAAAAAGATACTTGAAAAGAGAAAATGAGGCCAAAAACTCAAAGCCCCCTCAACCTGAAGCTTCTAATGCTTGGCATCTTGGCAGCTTTTCTCATTCTTTTTGTCTTCAGATCAAGTTTTTCGTCATCGGATCAGAGCTCCTCAGTTCCAACTAATCATGATCTTCCAAGAACCTCTAGTTCTTCTTCAAAAGATTTGAAAACCACCCCAAAATGTTCACATTCCTGCAACAAAATTCCGCCAACTCTAGCTCACGCCATCATGCATTACACAACCTCAACCATTACACCACAGCAAACACTCAAAGAAATATCAGTAACTTCCAAGATATTAGAGAAGAAGTCTCCATGCAACTTCCTTGTGTTCGGGTTAGGCCACGACAGCCTAATGTGGAGCACATTAAACTATGCAGGGCGAACGGTTTTCCTGGAAGAAGATGAATCCTGGATTGAGCAGATCAAGAGAAGGTTCCCAATGTTGGAATCATACCATGTTACATATGATACCAAAGTGACTCAGGCAAATGAACTCATGGAAGTGGGCAAAGGGCCAGAATGCACTCCTGTTTCTGATCCTAGATACTCAATGTGCCAGCTTGCCTTAAAAACCTTGCCTGAAGAAGTGTATCAAACTAAATGGGATTTGATCATGGTGGATGCTCCAACAGGCTATTATGATGATGCTCCAGGGAGAATGGCAGCAATCTATACAGCAGGAATGATGGCCAGGAACAGAGAAGACGGCGGCATTACCGACGTTTTTGTACATGATGTGAATAGGGAGATTGAGGATCAGTTCTCCAGGGCGTTTTTGTGTGATGCATACATGAAGAAACAAGAAGGGAGGATCAGGCATTTCAGAATCCCAAGTTACAGAAGTAACTTGAACCAGCCTTTCTGCCCTTGATACTTTGATCCTTGGTCATTTCCTTTTTTGTTTTGTCCCTCAATTCTTTCTGAAAAGAAATTTGTCATTTATGTATCATGTTTCATTTGTTCCTTCTAGGTTTTAGATATTCCTTTTTTGTTCATGAGGTAGATAGTTGAGTCTCTGCAAAATCAAACATTTCATTGTATCTTTCTTTTTTTTTTTCTTTTGCTATATATATATATATATGCCATAATGGAAGGAATAAAAGAGAGAAACGTAGTATACTACTTTGTGGTGTGCACAACAAATTGAGCAACAATTAATTAATTTTAAAAGAAAATTTTACATTTTTTAGGAAAAATTATTTATTTTGTTGGGGGTTTTTTTTCCTTCAAAATTTAAGCAATTAGTGATGAAGGCTAAAATACCTTCACATTTTTAATCTGATCGAAATGCAACTTTTAACTAATCTTAACAAATAATCTCCTAGGTCATATTTTTTTGTATTGATTCATTCACCTCCCAAATACCTTTTTTTTTTTTTTTTTACAACTTGGAAAAAAAAATCGCAGTAATTAGATTTAGTTTAGTTGGAGATCATTACCTATTCAATGCTTCAACGAGATAAAATGGTCAATAAATACTTGACAATTACTCCAATTTCCATTTGTGCACTAAATTGTAGGCATTTTTAAAGATGTTTTTGGCATGATTGTGAGAATAAAAAATTGATTCTATTAAATCGGGCTAAAAGAGCGGAATTGATTCTATTAAGCCGTAGGTTGAAAAAGGCAAATAATAGTTTGGACGTCAACTTACGTTTCATTTTGTTACTTAAAAATAAAAATTGTTTCAAATTAAAAACTAAATGAGAAATAAAAATGTTATTTGGATGTTAGTTTTGAGAAAAAGTATTTTAAACTACATTTTGAAATATCAAGTACAAGTCATCACTAAACAATTAAAAATTATTAATTATAGTTACTGCAAAAAAGAACTTTTCCAAAAACAATCACTCAACAACGGAATCCTGCCAAATTTGTCACTGAACTTTTTTTGTGGTTCTAAAATGGTCATTACACTAACAAAAAGTGTTTCAAGTTGGAATTTAAAATGTAAATCAGAAAATTGTTTGGATGATGTTTTCTTTTTCATTGGGTTTTGTGTTTGAGAGGTAAAATGAGACAAAATGTAAAATGGAAGGTTGGCCAAACAAAGCCAAACTTTTAAGAAAATAGACAGATTATGGGAGCACTTTTCTAAATACAGAAGACACGAGGGAGTGAAATCAAAAATATAATCTGGATGACCCAAAACCGTGGAAAAAGGGGTAGGGATTAAATTGAGAATTAGAAAGACAACTCCCCTCTTCCTTCAGTCACAATCATTCTCTCTTTGCTTTTCTCTCTCCTCACCATTTCCTCTTTACGTCTCTTTTTTCTCCTAATTCAACCCAACTCTGCTAAAGAAGAACAGGGAGAAATTCAGAGAAAAGGAAAGCTTTTCGGCTTCGGTTTCGTAAGAAAGATTTTCGGAAAGTAGGCGAAAATGAGCAACGAATAGTGAGATTTTTTAGTACTGTTTGTTTGTGTTTGTTTTTTTTTTCTTTTTTCCCTAATTTCTTCTGGATTTTGATTTTTTTTTTTATTGTTGCGGTTGACGAATTTCTTGATTAATTGTGGATGTAAAGGTTTTCGGTTTGGTGTTTTTTTTTTTTTGTTGTCAGTGATTATTTGTTCAAGCTGCTGTTGATCGGTGATTCTTCTGTCGGCAAGTCTTGTCTTCTTCTCAGATTTGCCGTATGTTCACTTCATCCGCACTCCGCATTATTTGTGTTTATATTTCGAGTTGGAATTTGCGCAATGTCTAAATTGGTTTTTGTATTTCTTTCGTAAATTTTTTTAGGGAAAAAAGCTGATAAAGTTCATAATAAAGTAGAAAAACGGCGGGTTTGATGTTATGTTGGGACTTATTCGTTTCTTTGTTGCTTCCAGGATGACTCCTATGTGGACAGTTACATTAGCACAATTGGAGTTGATTTCGTGAGTATCTTTGTTTTTTCTTTTATTTACCAATTCATAGTAATTTAGTCTTCTTTTTCAGAGTTCTTATACAGAAATTGACTTCATCTAGTGAACTTGTGCAGAAAATTAGGACAGTGGAGCAGGATGGAAAGACTATCAAGCTGCAAATTGTGAGTGGTTCTAGGTTAACATGAAATCTAAATGTGGCTTTCAAACTATTGATTGCTTCTGTTATTATTGTGATTATTGATGGTACATTATGTATGTATGCGGATAACTGTGGGTAGAACCTTTTGCATCACCTCTAAAGGTCCAGAGGTGATTATTGATGGTACCATATGAAATGGAGTACTTGATACTATATGAAATAGAATGATGCTTTCTGTTTAGCTGGTTACCTTATATGAAGCAAATTAGTCCTTATTGAGTTGGGGTAACCTGCTTGAGCAAGCTCTGAAAATGAAAAGGACACAGGCATTTAAAAGATTTACTAGCAGAGTCATGAATCCCTATATTAATGACTAATTGACCCACGTTTCTGTTTGCAATTTCTACATTACATTAATAGTTATGATTCTTTCCATTTCCAGTGGGATACTGCAGGCCAGGAGCGTTTTCGGACTATAACCAGCAGCTACTATCGAGGGGCCCATGGAATCATTGTAAGAATGATTTTTCTGATTTTATTCCTTGGCTGAAATTTTCTTGCTCTTTACCTATGCTAAGCAACTCTCCAATATATTGTGGAGTAAAGTTTCAAGAAATGTGCAGCTCAAAAAACGAACCTTACCTTCTATGACCTTTATGTGACAGAGCAACATGGAGAGTGTAATATTAAATATTTGATGTAAAAGTTGTTTGAGACTTTGAGTAAATTAATGTACTTTTTAACTGAATCATCTCTTATGGTAATTCAAATGATAAATGTCTGTTACTCTCTTGTTACTACAGGTAACAAGTAATATATAGTTCAATTGTGGAATATTCAAGTTGAACTTCGGTATTGTGTTTGGTCAGGAAGCCGGATGATAAGGATCATTGCTTTGCAGTAGCTTGAATTTATTGAATTAAGATCTTACTAAGTCTTATCAACATGAATTAGTTGGAAAATGTTTCAGGTTCTCACATTAATTGGATACCGCTACCTTCTTTAATCTAAAATTAGAGTGTGATTTTGGTTTATGTTAAGTAGTTTGCTTCTGTCATTTCATTTAAAGATTCTGTAAGATTATAGGGTTCTTCTTTCCTTTGCTTATGCTATGTGTGCTTACATTTTGTTCTGATGCCATAGATTGTCTATGATGTTACGGAGATGGAGAGCTTCAACAATGTGAAGCAATGGCTGAATGAGATTGACAGATACGCTAATGACAGTGTGTGCAAGCTTCTGGTTGGAAACAAATGCGATTTGGTGGAAAACAAGGTTGTCGATACTCAGACAGCAAAGGTACTTCTCAATCTCGTAGCCTGAGTTGTTTCACTTTGTGGATGTAGCATATATGGATTTTTGAGTGCTCAGTGTCTGTTCTTGTACTTTAACATGACCAGTCTAGTAAAAGAGAAAAGAAACGAATGAATTATCCTTGAGACCTAAAAGCAATGTAGAATCAGAATATTGTCCTCATTAATATGGTGCAGGGATATGGGTGCACACCTTCAACAGCTTCAAAAACGTGCTCGAGTTGTTAAGCCTTTTATAGTTGTTTGCTTGAAATGTTAACTATGTTATTCCTGTATGAGTAATCTTAAATTTTCTCTTAGAGGATGCTGTTTGGTTTGAGACATCCTTTGTTCGCTGATGGGAAATTCAACTGTTAACAGGTTTAAGTCATTATATTTTTCAAGTTTTGGTCTGACTGTTATAAATTTGTAGTGTCCTATTTGATTAATTAAAAATGGCAAAACACTATGATAGGGGACAGTAGAGGAATGTGGAGCAGTTCTTGCTATGTGACCATACAGAAATCTTTTGAATAACTTGATTTGAAGTCTCAAATTATAGAGTTCAAAATATTCTATTCTTCTTATGTAGCTCTTGCTATCTAACTTTTACTCCTACTCTACTCGAGTCAATCTCAGGCATTTGCAGATGAGCTTGGGATTCCTTTTCTTGAGACCAGTGCTAAAGACTCCATCAATGTGGAGCAGGCTTTCTTAACTATGGCTGGAGAAATTAAGAAAAAGTAATGGCACACTTACCTGATCCATTTCAGGACTTTGTAGTAGACCCTTTGTAATGCAATATCTGCATTAGTATTTGACTGATTTGTGGCTTCTGACATTGTTTACAGGATGGGTAATCAGCCACCTGCTGATAAGAAGGCAAGAGGAACCGTCCCCCTGGAGGGGCAGCCAATTGAACAGAAGGGCAACTGTTGTAGTTAACTGCGTATGAACTTTGTTTCTGAACTGGTGTTCTAGAGATTAGAAGGTGGAACAGTTGGTGACCCTTTTATCCCTGAATATCGTCCGGAACTCAAATGTCATAACCTGTAAACTGCTTTGCCTTTGTGGAAAATGTAACTTGTGAATTAAGTGGACTGGAAGTTGTGTTTGTTGAATTCAGGGGACACCTGTTCGTTCTTTACACTATATTATTGCTAGTATTTCTGATTTTCCTGAAGTGATCAGTTTAAGAAATGGGTGTCCTGATTGACATGACTTTGGGGCTCACCTCATTTAGGCTTTGACCTCCTGTTGGTGAACCACGAAAATATTAAAAAGAATCGATTAAAGTGAAGAACCTCCACTTTATTGTGAGCATGAGCTGGGTAACAGGGACCAAGGGTGAAGCACATTATCACACCTCTTTGGGTGTAAATTCATCAATGTACTGTACTCACTGGCACTCGGATAATTTAAATTTTAAAGTTACGGAAATGATGGTAGTGCTTTGTTTATTGCTTTCTTTTTCCAATGAAACCACTGAATCTAATATCCAAATCACAAGTTCGAAACTCTAGTGACATCTCCATTTCTGTTGTATAAATCTTTAAGATAGCTGATAATACAATCAAAAGGTTACACTCCTATACAGGGATTTTCAGTTCCAAACATTTTTTTTTTTTTTTTGAAAATGAGTTCCAAACATTTGGATTACAATATTGAAAGGTGTTTGGCCACTTCTTCTTCTTTTTTTTTTTTTTCGTTAACAGAAGGATTGCATTGCATAATCATAAGATTACAACATTGCGAGACTTCAAGAGGCGTCGTTAACACGTTTACGGCTGCGACCACCAAACTGGCGACCAGAGCTACAGCAAGGAAGTCGGCATCTAGAGGTATACTTCGCCACGAAGGTGATAAAATAGTACTTAACGCGAGTGAACTAGCCAGGAAAAAATAAGAATGAAAATCAGAAACTCAATTACCCAAAAAGAGGAAAATATCAATCAATAATCAAATCATCAAATCAGATGGCATAAGGAAATCAAACTAACGCTTTTAGATATGGGTTTTCGAATTGCCCTTCAATGGGGAAGATACCATCAGAATATTTGCTGAAGTTATAAGATTGACGGGTACAAGTGGCCTTCTCAAACCCTCACACTCCGGTACATGATCATCTAACCAGGGAAAACTAACAAGATCAATATAAATACAAATCAAATCAAACAAAATGGCAAAATCAAACAGGAAAAAATTGAATCAAATTACCTTAGCAGAATCGTCCTCCTGTGTGGTGGTGGTGTTGTAAAGGTCAATGCAGTGCTGCGACATCTTGGTGATGCGATTAACAATTTTAATGTTTCCTCAAGTCACAAGTTTTCTTTTTCAAAAAAAAAAGTCACAAGGTTTTGATTACGGGACTGTGGTTCTTCTCGGAAAGGGATTGGGTGTCTATGTCAAAAATCCCTGAAAAAAAAAAAGAAAAAAAACCCCAAATTGATTTGATAATAATAACACGGGGGGAAAAGGAAGTCAGGAAGTAGATTGTGGAAATTACAAAAACTAAACTAACCCGACTGTTGTGCATCGCCCGGAAATACTCCATCCATCTATACTTCTTAAAACCGTCATCAGGGATGAAGAAATCAGAATAATTATCCTTTAAAAAAAATCTGGTAGAGGGCCTAGATTGTCTTCTCGTGGATCTGGTGATTCTGGTGGATTATCCTCTTTTGGGGGAGGAGGAGGAGGAGGAGGAGGAGGAGATCGTCTAGCCTTCCTTTTGCGTCTGATCGGACAATCTTTTGCTAATTCTATCAGCCATGCCATGGCCTCCTCCCGCTTCTGCTCTACTGATTTGCTGCCGTGGTCCATTCCGCCGGCCGCCGAAGAAGGTTCTGGCTTATCCGTCTTCTCTGCCCACCCGGAACCCTAATTTTCGGTGACATTTTACCAAACCAAATTGATTGATGATAGAGTAGATTTGCTCTATTTATATTGACCGTCTGACGTCCGACCCCTGGAGGATTTCCCTCTCCAATATTTGAGTCATCAGTCCCAAAACTAAAAAAGATTTTTTTTTTTTTTTTCTGATTCTTCATACTAATTGTACCCGCCTTCCCGAAAGTACTCGCATAGCATCATTTTCATCAACTAATTAAACTGACAAGTTTCAGCAACTACATCATTGTTAACAGTCACATGTTACAACTCTTTTTCACAAAACCAGCAGCTACATAAATATTCCAGTTTATATCAAGAAGCATAGATTCATCAACATTTCACAATCGAATCGTCAACAATTTTCTTGGATTGTAGTGATTTACCACCAGCCTCATCTTCTGTATTCCTTAAGACCACAGAATCATCTATTTACACATTTCTTGATTCAATAGTTTTTTTTTTTTTTTTGAAAAGGTTGATTCAGTAGTTTTTTTATGAAAAGGGGTTGATTCAATAGTTACATGTGTTAAAATTGCACAAACAGGATTCAGCCTTCACTATTTCTTGAATTCAGGGGACACGAGCTATCTAATGATAGACTTCAAACCTCAAAGATGGGAACCCAGTTGCGGATGTAGCCTTTCTTGTCAAATTTCTAACTAATTATGTAACAGCACAATACAATCTGTAGACAGTTTTCACCATTTGACGACAACATATGTAACTACAATAAATAAACCAACAGAAGGGGACCCCAAAAAAAAACATTGCTTTGAAGTTTTACAAAGAAAATGAAAAAGGACAATCAATCAAATACAATATGCAATCAGTATTCAGCGCTAAAGATTGGCACGAAGGGGTTTACTGCATCAGGAAGAACAGCAGGGCTTCTTGGCGTTGGTGTCCTCGGCTTCCACCACTAAAGTTTGTCCTTCTTTGATGTTTGCGGCCGGCTCACCTGAAGAAAGTGACTTCTTGCTAATTATACGGTATATCTCTCCAAGAATTGTTTGGAAAGCTTTTTCCACATTTGTTGCTTCTAAAGCCGACGTTTCAATGAAAGAAAGGCCTTCTTTCTCAGCAAAACTTTGAGCATCCTCGGTAGCAACTGCTCTTAGATGCTTCAGGTCAGTCTTGTTACCAATAAGCATGATCACGATGTTCGAATCTGCATGATCCCTCAGCTCCTTCAGCCACCGGCTTACATTATCGAATGTAGTTGGTTTTGTAACATCGTATACCAGAAGAGCTCCAAGAGCACCCCTGTAATAAGCACTGGTTATGGCTCGGTATCTCTCTTGCCCAGCTGTGTCCCAAATCTGAGCTTTTATGGTCCTTCCTTCAACCTATAGTGGGTAGACGTATTCAAGCATTAAATGATACTACTCAAAAGAATCAAGGAAGCTAGCTTGAACGTATTAAAAGCATGAATGAAACGAACAATATTATTATACGACATAGAGGAAGTGAAAAGGGAGCCCCTACACATCCTATGGGTCAACTGTACCAATTTTCAACGACAAAATGATCAGGGAAAGAGTTCCACAGAGCTTTAGGCAGTAAACTTCACATAATTGCATTAGACAACTACAAACCGAATGTGGAAAGTTGACAACTCCTTCTATCCATCATTTCAACCAAAAATCTACGGCATAATGAACGAATAAACAATTGCAAGTAACTTTCAGAAGACCGAGCAATTATCTATCACCAATTTTAGTGAAAAGAACTGGGGTAATGATTTCACCTCTCCTTTTTATCTCTAGGTACCTTACTCTCAAACATTTTTTCGCACAACAAATCACCTAATCTTTTCAGGAACGTATATTTAATAAGTTCATCACATAGAACTGAACACAAACCGACAGACTTCCTCCTGCATATGACTTCACACCGTTAACATCACTGAGCTTAACGTTTTAAAATAACACCAGAGTAACTCGTTATAGTAGTGTTCCTCCAAAATTAGCTAACCATTTAAAGCAAGCTCTGTTAAAAGGAAGTATATTCAATTAACTTGATCCCAAAGTTCAATCTCCAGCTAATAACTTTTGCTCAAACCAACAGATCTAAACTCGATGCAAAGAATTATCAATTACATCAAATTCTAAAGCAAATGGCTAATATGGAGGCATGCCAAGTTAAACAAACAAGAGCCATCCGCAAAAAAAACAACTGGACCTTCAAAATTCAGGAATCCATTCATGATCCGAAGTTAATTAGTCACAAAATGAAGAGAACAAGAGATCTTTTGCATTACAAAACTAAACTAAGACTCAGAAGCACAAGCAAGTAAACATGAAAACTGCCAATCAGTGAATAATTCAGGAAAATTGTGAATTCCGAAGTAGGTTAATAAACAAAGAAAAAAAGCAAAGAACATTACTTGAAGCGTGCGGGTGGCGAATTCGACGCCGATGGTGGATTTAGATTCCAAACAGAATTCATTACGAGTGAAGCGAGAAAGCAAGTTGGATTTGCCGACGCCGGAATCTCCGATTAAAACCACCTTGAACAAGTAATCGTACTCCTCGTCCGGCCTCCTCGCCATTGATTGTTTTCCTTCAAATCTCCTCAACCCTTCTTTTACTACTACTACTTGTTCTTCAGTAGTTACTGTTTGGGGAATCTGTGTGTTCCGCTTTAGATTTGAGAATTGACCATCGTTGATTATGATGACCCTTTTGCTGAATGAAGTATGATTATTGATTGACTGACAGACAGGCAAAACGGACTCCAGCGATGACGTTCTTTCTTAATGTCGGAAATGCCCTCACGGTTAATCTCGGTGGAGATTTTTTTTTCTTTTTTTCTTTTTTTTCCCCCCGCATATTTCCATTATTAAAATGGTGAAAAAAGAAATGATTATTATGATGATTTCGGATTTAAATTAGGTTTGGAAGTACTGTAAATTTTTTACTGTTGTGCACTTTTTCTTTTCTTTTGCCTTTTTCCCTGAAAACATTGTTGTGCACTTCGAGAATTGACAAATGTACCCTTTTGTGCTTATAAAGAAGCTTAACTTGGGAAGTAATAAAACACGAATATTAATGTTCCCAAGCGTACGGTAGTTTCCTGTTTCCCTCCACTTCCCCACTATTTTGATTTCTTGATTTTGGGAGTTTTTTCTAAAAAAAAATTTCCAACTGAGGACGAATTTTCTTTGTTTGTTCAACTCCGGTCAAACCAACTTCAAGTTTTGGGTGTTAAACTTTGATAAAGCTATACTTTGAGCCTTTATTTCACTTAAAATCATGCAGATTCTCCCCTCAATTATAAAGAAACTCATATTGGCTGGATCTGAGTTGTGGTTGTTGTTGGCCTTTCCAGCTTGCATGTGCAAAATGCCATCCGTGTGACAAAAATTGATACAGCTTTGGTTGTCACTCCAACCATAGGTGATGTCTTCTTCCCTCAGAGTTTCAGTCTATACATATATGTCTTAACACTTTTTTAAGATTACATAGTCCTTACTACGTTTTTTCACCCCAAATATTCGAGATTTTTGAAGTGTCATTGCATAGATCGTATATTTAAAATGCGTATCTTTTCTTTTAATGTATTTTACAAGTACTTTAGCGGAGGTACAAGTTCAATTCTCTATATTTATGATATGATATAGGTGTGACTATGTAGGTATATATGTATCGTGAAATGTTACATTTCCTTGAAATTAGTAAATAATGTCTTTATTTTTGTTTTGCTACATTTGTTGCTTTAAATCTAGACCCTAGCAACACTCATCATTTTATTGGCTAATTCTGTAAGTAGATCCAATTAATCATCAACACCGCAAATAGGCACTTAAAGTTCATACTTGAGTTCATCTCCACTAATGCGGATTTATTTAAGTTCGCGTTCTAAACTATTGAAATATCAATCAATATGCGGTAAGGTCTATGAGTAATTGATGAGTTCTACACTCATCAATCTGATACAGTTATTCTAATTGATGAGTTTTAGCATAAATATGCACTCTTTTTAATGAAGTACTCTGATACAGTTATTCTGATTATTTCAATCATAAATTTAATTGTTTAATTAAAAAATTACTGGACGTATTTATGATGAATAAAGTATTTTTTAAAAAAGTCAATTTGAAAATAATAATCAAAAGTTTCGAAAAATATCAACCACTTACTATATTGACATTCTATATTTATAAGAATATCCAATTCAAATGAATTACATTTGAGAATCTGAAATTGTTATTACATTTCTCTAAATGATGTTGTCTTTTTTATCACGGGTATTTATGATTATCATACTATGAATGACTTATGTCGTTCTACACTACTAAATCAATTTGATAAATTCTCATTCAAACAATTTTATTTTTAATTTCTTAGCATTTTAAGTACTAGCTCATAAGATGCACTAACCTAAGCTCATTACCTGATCGTCCTCTCTAAAAACCACAGCACCGACACCATTTTGGTTTTCCATGTCAAAATCTGGTCCTCTGGCAATTGGTACCTTGTTGCAATGCAAAACTTTGACCTCCAAACTGTATAACACTATAACTTTGGGGGCGGAAAATAGAATAAAGAGAGAACTAAGGCTTATTTCTGCAATTACACTAATCGCTAACCTAAACTAATTTTCTTTTTGAATTTTATTTGCGACCTCTTCATGAAAAGAATATGGTAGCGTAATTGTTAAACAAAGAAATAATTATTCAAAAAACTTAAAAAAACAGAAGAAACAACATTGTGCAGGCGAATTTCGATGATTCCATAGGAAACGGGGGAAAATCGGGAAGAAAGAATAAACGGAAAAATAAAGAAAGTTATTACAGAGGAGGAGAGAAATTCAAGAAAAGTGTAGAGATATGAGAGAGATCTCAATTCGGAGATGGCTGCGGTTCCTTGTGTTTTTTTCTTCAATTTCTCTGCAATTTATTTCAGGTTCGTTCATTTGTTCATGTTTTTCCTTTTGAATGAATTGATTACCGTTCCAGTGTTTATAATTTGGATCTGTACGAGCATTTATTTTTTATTCCGTAATTAGCTCTGGAGTTGTTGTATGATATCAGTTTGTTTTCTTTTTGGCCGATGCATTGTGGATGTTTAAGAGTCCGGAGTGCAATTTTGGTGTTTTATGATCTTCGATCCATTCATGAGATGTGTATATTTGCGTCTTGGAGATGACTTAGTCCAATGCAGTACAAGGAAAACTCGGAAAACTTTTTGGCAGGTTAAAGAATTAATCGGAAATTTGTTACATCAGTGTGTGTTTCCATTTGAGTTTTATATTACTTCAAGAATCGGCAGTCTAAATGTAGGAGATTGTATTATTGGGACTGAGTATGGACTGGTTCTGATGAAGAGATAAATTCAAGCCACTGGGGAGTTTTTTTGAAGATTGCTTTTAGGGAAAAAATACAGCATATTGGTTTGGAGGATATCAAGTTTTATGTTTCTGTACTTGTTAACTTTTTACTTGATCAAGAAATATGTTTAATTGTGATCACTCCGTTCAGCTTTTAGGGAAAATACAGCATTTTGGTTAGGACATTGATTGTGAAGTTTTTGGACTTGTTAACCTTGCGCGGAACTTATTTACTTGATTAAGAAATACATTTGATTGTGATAACTCGGTACAGTAGATTAGAGAAGAGAACCAAAATGTATGTCCTGCTCTGTTTTGGTTATCCGAGAACTATGTAGCACACTAGCACTTACAGTTTCTTAATCTATTTCTAGTATACCAATGATGTTAAATAGACTAGTTTGGAGAATTTAAGCGTTAAATATCCCTCTTTAATTGTTGAAGAGAATTGCATTGTTTTTATGGCTTTTCCAACCATTCGGATTTGTCCCAATGGCCACTAGCATGTCATGCTAGGCCAGATGTGGAGGGATTGAACCCCCACTCCTTCACTTCCCCCTCCCCGTTTCTTATCTTCTCTACTCTGTTTTAGAATAGGTATATATTGTACTTTATTGTGGGAGCCTCACCCCACTTTCCGCTTCTCTTTCTGTGATATCCCATATAAAGTTATGTTGTCAGATACTACTCTAAGTAGTCTCTAATGTTGTCCTTGTCACTAAGTCCTTTTCATTTCCAGGGTTTTCGGATGATTCACCTAATGCCAAAAACGGGACAAAATCTGACAGTCACACTCCTTTAGCTGGTAGCAAGGGATCCCGTATTGCGATAATATGCCTTATTGTCCTAGCGGTGGTGGTCCTATCTTTTTCACTTTTCAAGTTCTGGCAAAAAAAGAAGCGTGAAGAGCAGTATGCCCGTTTGCTTAAGTTGTTTGAAGAGGACGATGAGCTTGAACTTGAGCTAGGTCTTCGGGATTGAGATTTCTTTCCCATTCACTGTGGGTAAGGCATTTGTATCTTCTTCGTTCCAATGTTCAAAATGTTGCATATGTTGCTTTCCATGTAGTTCAGGGTTTTTCTCCCCCCAGAAATTGGCATGTATTTGAGTGCATGATCTTTGTTTGTCTATCGCTTCATCTATTAAAGCATTGCAATACTGATGAAAAATGGGGAATGCAAATCAATAATGATGTCGTTCAGTCTCTTCGATATCTGTAGATATTACATATTGTGTGTATATGAAACAACAAGATTCATTCAGCTACTGTTGAAGGCTACATGAGGGTTGGAAATTCTCTTTCGTTGCAGATGAATATGGCTGTTTTTACGGTGGGTACAATTCAGTGCATGGTTCTGAGGGATTGCTGATCTGACACGAGAGTCAGGATATTTTGTTTGTAGCATGTGTATCTGAAAGATTGAATCGAATACATTGGAATTTAGTTCTAGGGTAAGCTAGTAATCGATAGTCAAAGGAAGAATTTTGTTTAAGCAATTTTCTCTTCAAATTGTGATTTTCCATTGTGCCAAGCTTCTTTATCCGGTATAGTTGTTGTTCCATAGTTGTATAGAGAAAGTACAGCTTATTGATTATTTGAGATATGAGATATGAAGTGTAAAGATCACAAGGAAACACAGGCACAGCTGTATGTAGAAACCGAGTTGGTACGTGCATATCCTGTTTGATATTATTTGGCATGTAAACTCTTATTCAGACTCGGCACCATGAAAGCCAAGTCCATTTGTGTATTCTGATTTGCAATTATCTGAGGAGATTTTATGAAGTACATTATGCATTTATCAATGATGAGATGACAAAACGCATATTTTAGGTTTGCTAGTTCCCTGCATATCGAAGTTTAACTAATGTTTGAATGTCTGTCAATGGTCATTAATATTATCTTCAGGTAGTAGTCAAAACGGAAAGATGAGAACTGATGGCGTGAATCGGAGGCCTTGTTGGTCTCTTCCTTTTGTTTGAGAGTTGCCTCAATAGGCTCGAGACTGAACCTGAACAAAGATTAATTGCAACAAGGCTGTCCTCTCTCGCAAGTCTCACACAATCCTGGATATAATTCTGCATTAACAATAACAGGTAGAACACAATTAAATCTGTACTTCGAGCTAAATAAAATATGGATATCGAGCCTCGATCAAGCAGCATTAATTAAAGCAGACAGAAAATGGATGATCATGATCTTTCCTCTCCACCTCCACCAGATGTCTAAATGATCTTCTTGGCCATATGTATTTGCGATGACAATGAACCTGGCAATTTTAATAACAGCGTCCAAGAATCCAAATGAATTCATTCATCTCAGAATGCATATCTTCGTGAAGAGGAATCACTTTATACCGCAGACTACATCGTCATTTGACAGAAAAGAGCCTGCGGCGCTGGAGAGAAATCTATTCCAACATGCTAAAATTTCTCTCTTTTAAGCATAAACACCACCGCAGCTGTTGGTCACACAGATATCTAGATTCTCCTACTACAAGGATATCTGTGTAAGTTCTTACATCTGACTAATTTCAGTCTCCAGAACAGTAAAATTAAAACAGATTATTCTAAGATAACAACATTTAAGTTTTGATAACTGCAATTTATCTGTTAATCAAATATCAGTTCTCTGTAGCTGCTTATCTGCAAAAAGCCTTGTACTATTGTTAAAAAAAACTCCCAAAAAATCCACCGAGAATACATCAATCTTATTGAGGCTCACGAGGGTCATAAGCAACTTATATGTTTAATAAAATTAATAAATATGATCACTGTGACTGATTAAAAAGAATACATAGTCAGGTAGAAAACTATGTCTATGAGTTAGCATCTTCTAGCCCCCATACAAGCTTGTTTCAGGGTGTCATGAGCAATTTACTGGCGTCCAGCTACAGAGTTTCAGATAACGAGATCTAGGGTTAACGAGATCAGGGCTTCAGAGAGAGCTGTGACAAGATATCAGCTTGTCCATTAAGGTTATCTTCCTGTCTTTGCTCTTTTCATCCCGGTGCTATTGAAAGGAGACATGCTCGGACTCATACTTGGGCTCATTATGGGGCTTTCTTCCCTTAAAGTTCCATTTAACATAGCTAGTTCTCTAAGTTGTTGCTTTTTGTAAAGGTCCATTGATTCATCCTGCAAGGCCCAAGCATAAGATATTGCTAGAGAAGAACTATGGGAGTTCAACGTTATCATTATGGTTTTAAACTTCTAAAGCATACCACAGGTTTTAGGAGTTTTTCCAATATGGCCACAGCATGATCCACTCGAGATTCAATCATATCTTCAGGAAATTCAGCTTCAAGCAAGATGTGGAGTGGTTCATTGAGGTGTTCATATCCAGGTTTATCTTTCAGTTTCTCTTCCTGAAGTAGACAAGCCGACTCAAATAAGAATTTTAAGAGCATTTAAAAGCTGCATTGTTCAATAAAACCAACTACCACAAAACCTAAAAGAGACTCTCAATCACCGCTACAAGTCGTTTAGGTTCAAAACTATACCAACATAGATTTAACAATTTGGTACCTTGACTGTGTCCTTCACCGAACCTTGGCCTCTGATGTATATTCTGCATTCTGTCATGGCTTCAACACGCTTCAAGGAGTTTCCACGTGGCCCCAGAATCCGGCCAACAAAATTATACTGGAGACGACATCAGGTTAAGATTGTTCCAGAAACTCCAAAAGAAAAAAAGAGACTATAACTGACCCTTCACAGGAAGAGAATCTTACATTTGGAAACTTGTCAACAGGAACATCCAGTCTGACAATTCTCTTGATAACAGGAGTGGTTGCAGATCCTGGAGCTCCATGCCAATCTAGAGGTGAAGGCGGAAATGGAGGCAACTTTTGAAGAAGTCGATTTTCCTGAGACAAGCAACTCATGCCTTTAATCATGAAACTCTTTTACCATTAGATAAGAACAAACAACTCTCCCTAACGCGAGTATGATTCAATATCTTGCTTGCACTAAGGGAACACATCCCAAACAGTAAAAATGTTGAAGCAAATGATGCAAATGTCTATCATGGAGGAGGGAAAGAAGTTTAAGTCATACTTTACTCTTTTAGATAGCCCGAACACAAACATCAAATTGCCAATAGGCCTAGGAAGAACTTAGTTTGGCTTTATCACAATATCTACACCTTTAGAAGGAGTCAATTTTCCGGAGACAAGCAATGCCTTTAATCCTGATACTCTCTTAGCATTATATAAGAACAAACAACTCTCCCTAACACGAGTATGGTTCAATATCTTACTTGCGCTTAGGGAAACATCCCCAAACAGTAAGACTGTTTAGGAAAAGATAAAAAAAGCCTATTCAAGTCCTACTTTACTCTTCCAGATAGCATGAGCACAAACATCAAATTGCCAATAGGCTTGGGAAGAACTTAGTTTGACTTTATCACAATATCCACACCTTTTAAACCATTAGTTACCAGATCTAAACAACTACTGAAGCACAGGGCTGGCCATGGAAGATAGGAAAACCATCTTATAGAAAAAAAAAAAAAAAAAAGGGACAACCATCCTTAAACTGGCCAGATGTTGCCGGCTAGACAAACAAAAAAAAAAAGATCAGAATTATGTGTGTAAGTAATAAACATACTATCTGGTTACCAAAATAAAGGGCTAAACCTCGAAAATGACACCCTGATAAAGAATTAAAGAGTTTCAAGGATTTTATCAAAAAGAAACAATTTGCCACGCAAGACACTCGTTAAGTCATCTGAGGTATGTATACAAGTTGCAACTTCCAACTATTTCAAATGAACAAATTTCATTCCACTTGGAGTAGGGCAGATACCATCAGTAATGATGTGTTTATGTGGGTAAAAGTTGTTATTTCATTTTCCTTACAAGATGAGGTAACCACACATACCTCAGCTCCCATTACATTCCATGCCTCCATATTCATTAGTCCTCCATGAGGTTGCTGCCCAAAAGATCCAAATGGGTGTTCATGTCCCATTCTCTCATGCTCCAACATTTGATTTGATACCATTCTCGACCATCTCATTATTTCTGCAAAATAAACTTCTGTCAGCCTCTAAAGATCTGTTTAAATCAAGTGGATCAGCACATTGAAGTGAAGAACTATTCAAATTGAGAAAATTCACGTCACATATGAATTTTTATCAAACAGATAGATAGCAACCTTTATTTGACACAAAGAGTTCAGGTGGCATAGATAGAGCAAAACCAACAAATCATCTAACAGTGAACTGCTAAGGGAGAAAAACTTTATAGCTAAATCTTAAAATACAAACTCTTGATCAAAAAACAAAGCTTGGATTAGGCATGCGTTCCAACAGCAAGCACAGAAGCAAACTACATTATGAACTCCAAACGGAAGTGGTTGACAGTACACAAACATTTTCAAGGTCTTCACAATCATCTCTAGATTTAGAGCAACTAATTGTGAAACATAGCTCGTTGTTCATACTTTTGCGTGTAATGTTAAGGAAATAATCGATACTCTACTTCTCATCCAGTTCATAGTGAAGACAATAAAAGAGAGTTGGACACTGAATAGAATCACAAAAATTCTGCAAAGGGAAGCAGTACAAAGTATTTAAGATTTTGAATACTCTCATCTGAGATGAAAAAACAAGCATTTTGGTGATTGGCAACCTTGATTTAGAAGCTTGCTGCAGATGGGCAAAATTGGCATGAATGGTCCCAAGTTCCGCCTCTCCGCTAATAAATCTGCCAAATATCTGAGACCAACAAACCCTTTAAATTGTGTACCGAGTGGGAAAAAGACAAATTGAATCAGGAGAACAGATCCAGACAAGTAAATAACTTTTGGTCCATTGATAATACCAAGCAAGTACCAGAATGCGAAATGGATATTCACGAGAAACGCAGAACGCTCACGAGTCTCTTCATTTATGGAAACTTAAGTGAAACATTATTATTGAAATCTTCCAAATAAATAGTTCACGCGTGCAACAACCCATAAGCGGCATATACAAATAACTCAGGCCAACAATCGAAAACACAAATTAATAATAAACCAAATCTAGACTTCTCCCCTTCAGCTTCTCATTTAGCAATAGACAACAGATACCGTAAAAGGATATTTTTCTATGTAAGGATTATCATTCAGCCATAGTAAATAACCATGGGAAATAGAGGATGCCACGTTCTGATTAAAAAGGGCCACAAGATAATTATTCACAGTTTAAAAAAGATCCCAAGTAGGTTAAACACACGCAATCAAAGAATATCAGGAAAATTCGAGTATGTGTTGCTTGCTGCAAGAAGTCCACAAAAATCTACTACAAAATATCGAATGCTTCCAGTGAAAGACGTAGGAAAAGAGATTCAGCAACAATAAAGTATTGGAGTCAGTAAAACGCTATCAAGCGGTGCAAACTAACTAATAATCCAACCCAAAAACAACTAACAAACATAAGCCAAATAATCATAACACCAAAACAAGGGGGGAAAACGAAAAGAAAGATCCAGTTTTTGGAAACAAACGGTGGCGATAAACATGAAAAATGGACTAGCAACAAAAGAACCGAACAATCCAAACACAAAAAGGTTCAAGTCCTGACCTTTCACGATCTGACATGGAAGAAGACCTCTGAAGTGGACCGTGAATCCCGGAAGGGGAGTACTGGAAGTAACTCCCGGGTGCCATTCTATTCTCCATAAACCCAGAAACCATACAAGCCCAGCAATCCAAACAAAGCAAAAAAAACTAAACAAAACTGCAAAACAATAATCAAGACAGAAACGCAGTTTACAATCAGTTGAAACACATTAACAAATTAAGCGAAAACACAGATATGCAAAGGAGAAAGGTATATAGATTGTGAGAGGACTCACTATGGATGCGAAGATGGAGGCTGCCAACCGAAAGGGTATAGGGAAATAAGGGTTGAATGGGGTAAAAGGGTAATGGAAAATAACAAAGGAGAAGGCTTTCTTCCAACCCCTTATTGGACCTCTCTCACTTCCCTTGTGGGGGGGATGGAAGAAATGGGACAGATTGGAAAGAGAAACCAAAAACCCCTACTCCTTACTACTATTAAATAGTGGACCTCAGTCAGTGTGGCTGCTGACTTTGAGATTCTTTTGCTATGTGCTAGTATTGCTATTATAGTGGTGGTTTCTTTGTGTGTGTTTAGGAGTGTGTAGCTGATTTTGTTGCACTTTCTTTCTTTTTTTGTGTGATTTGGGTGTCATGTTGTCATCATAATATCTAGGAGTATTTACACCTAGTTTGTTGAAGTTGTTGCACTTTTTTATGTATAAATAAAAAAATAAGATAAATTATTTTCATGTGAGATGCCCTCATCATCATGTATCTCAGTGAATATTCTTATAGATTTATGCCTGCCTATCAAAAATATCTAGAAGGAAAAGGGAAGAAAGACACTTTAGCATGGTGATGTGTGGTAAGTTTAATCAATTTTAACATGGATTTGATTCTTCTCTACAAGTAGAAATATGTTTGAAAAATAGATGGGAGAAAAAAAGATTACGGCTTATGAGGAATGATAACGAGAACTTAATCTAAATATGTCGTGATCAAAAATTAAAATTGTCTGTTTCTTTATCGTATTTAAACATATTTAAAAGTGCACAGTGTTTGTTATTGAAAATTCATGATTATGTACGGTCGTAAGTCATTATTTTTAAACGTGTCATTTGAACGTATCTTATTACTTGTTGTAGGTTTAATCAATTATAACATGAATTTTATTCTTATCTACAAGCAAAACATGTTTGAAAAATGGATGGAAAAGAAAAGATTAGGGTTTATGAGGAATGATAATGAGAACTTATGTAAATATGTCATGATAAAAATTAGAATTGTTAGTTTCTTTATCGTATTTAGACATCTAAAAGTGCATAATGTTTGTTATTAAAAATTCATTATTACATACGGTAGTTATTCCACTATTTTCAAACGTGTCACATCTCTCTTAATTATCCAAATATATAGTTTATTTATTTATTCTTTGCTAATTTAAACGTGTCGTTTGTGTACATATTTGTGCATAATCTTTTCTTATCATGAAATCGAAGGGAACTAGATTTACATAGTAGATTCTCGACAAAAAATCATATTGAATTTCTTTAATATTTACTTGTGCTAAGTATGGACCTTAAAGAATACTATTTACTAGAGCTTATTAATCTCTCGAAGTATAATTATGGAGTTTTGTGCCGAACAAGTAATAATGTCAATATTAAAATAATATTATACTAATAAAAATAACTCAAAATAATAAAATCAACTAAATATATTTTTAAAAGAATATCAAAATTTTATGTTCTTTTCAAAAATGACTTAATTATAAGCTTCAGAATTTAGTCTTTTTAATATAATATTTTATTAAAACTAACGCAAAATTTCATGCAATTATAAACAATTTCAGAGATTGTTATTTTTAAAAAATGAACATAATTGAGGAAATCATTTTTTTATGAATACTAGTATTATCCCGCGCGTTGCGCAGTGTATCAATCATGGAAGAGTTTTAATAGTTAGATTATGCACGGTGTAACAACTATAAAATAGTTTTTATAGATAGATTTTTTTATTTTTTTTTTTCAGGATAGTGAATGTCATTATCTTTAGAATATGTACTTTTCCTTTTTGGTATCTTGGTGAGAAAAATATTTACTATCTACTTAAATGGAAGTTTTCTGAATTATTTTTTGTTTGACACGGAAGTAAACAATTTTGAATAACGTACGACAATTAGACTCTACAAGTTTTGACTTCAAAATGAGAGGAGGCTTGAGAAACTATCACAAAGCTTTTTTTTACAGTGAAAATTACAATCTTAACCAAATTGGTTGATTGTTATTAAGGTGTAAAATCCTTGTGTACAAATTGACACTAAAAAAATATTTATATTTGAGACGGAACCAAATATTATGTAATCCTTCATATTATATGTAATTGATCCCTACATTTCCTTCTCCCGCCTTTACATCTTGATGGTTTGAGCTTCACTACCATAAAACCAAATAGCCGAATCGGAGTCATTTAATCATTGCCAGTATTGTTTGAAACAACACCAATTTCCTTCAAATTTGCAGAGATTTTGTAACTGCACACCATCACTCAATCACATAAATGAGTATAGATGAATGAAAAAAGATGTGATGACCTACTCGTCATCAAGGGTGTTTCCATAGTCGTTTTTAATCGACCAAGAGTCTGCTGCAACAGAGTGGTCGTCATTCGCAAATCAGATCGGAGGCCACCGCAGGTCGAGCTTTGAGGCGCTGGAGTCCTCAACAGAGAGTCTGAATCCAAATGAATAGCTATCTTTCAATGAATATATAGCAATCGAATCAAGATTAAAGGGGCAATGAAAAACTAAAGAGTTCGTTAAAAGGAGAAAAAAAATAGCTTACTTATTTATGTAAATCGTTCATATATCTATCCCACATCCAATGAAAAGAAAATCTCCATTGCACATGCCAATTCAAAACCAAAATACAATGATAAGCAATTCTAGTTAACCGAGCCTTATGTCAAAAAAAATCACTATAAGCGAAAAGGAGGAAGAAACTGGACCTTGGGTTTTGATTGCAGCACACATTTTGACGGCCTCTGTTCCCAAGTAACTTCCAAAAACATGGCATAGGATCATGTATACTTGTGGTAAGTAAAATAATTATTTCTTATAATAGAATTTACCGTAGGGCTGTCTCACGAAGAACTCATTGATAACTACCTGTTAACACAAAACTTCAAATCGATTCAAATCGACACTTGACATTTTGAATTACAAAAATGAAAACAAAATACATTTGAGATTGAATACAATAAAGACTATAATAAAATTTAGCACTTCTGGTTGTAAATAATAGACTTCCATAAAAACCCACTTGACAAGTAGAGATAGATAGAAGAAGTGAACGGAGAGAAACAACATGTCGTCTTTTTCTCCGGCTTGAATTGCCGCCAGTAAGCCCTCTAAGCCAATATTGATGAATCCATCCATGCCAATATGCCTTCCTTGCGTGACGGGTTTTAGATATTATTGTATTTAAGTTTTTTGATTTATAAGTCTCTACAAAAGCTTTTAATATAAAGGGTTCATATATACGATGAACGATGAAAATTTAGGAAAAAGTTCAAGTACATTCAAGCTTAACACTAGTTGTAATAAGTAATTGTTTAAGAAAATATGAATAAAACTTCTTGTGTTATAAACAAAAAGGAAATTACTGTAGATTCAAATGTTCTGAAACTTCCTTGTGGATAAAAATAAGGGAATTACTTTAGATTCACTTTTTTCATGTTCAAGAACCTAGCCTACTATCAAACAAAACTAATTAATTTTCATATGATAGCAAAGCCTTTATTTATATATAAAAAAAATACCGACGTATAGATGTCACATTTTTTGTCACAAACAGAGAACTGCCTAAACAAAAAGCATCAAAGAACAATTAAATATCTACCGTCCATGTAACTGATTTGATTATGATACAAATTACATGTAATTAGAACTAACTTGGTGGTTGAAGAGCATAAATGAGGCCAAGCAACTTTAATGGAGGACATCAATGAGGTGCCACAGATCTTAACTTGAGTGATTGATTTTTTTTTTTAATTTCTTATAGAACATCACCAATGAAGTAATAACATTAGAAAAGAAATGTACCTTCTCCACGTCAGCCTCAAAAATGAGATCCTTAGCTTATGACTTTGGATTAGCATGAACACGTTCTCCTTGTCTAATGAGACATCTTATACCCTAGATCAAAGCAGAGCAAATTGAATAGAATAAGAATAGGAATGAAACTAACAGAGGTAGATTTTGCAAAATTATCAGAATACGTCGTCTTTGCGCATGACTACCTATGGGAGTTCCCCGTTGTTAGGGCGCAGCCGCCATCATTTCGCCCCTTGCGTAGTGATTGGTTGCAGCAACATCTGCTACAATTCTTGATACAGCTCCCGGCAGTCATCGTTAATAAAGAAGTAATCTGATACAACTCCTGAAAAGATGGCCTGCAAATTTCATTAGTTAATATTTTTTTTTGCCAAAAAAAAATATAGTAATAACAACAACGAAAAAAAATGAAAAGAAGGATATCAACTTAATACCTGCAGTAATGGATCGTATTACACGATAAGGAGGCTGAAACAATGGCGGTGGCAATGGAAAAAAAAAATATTCTCTTTACCTCTCTATATAAACACAAAGGAAAAAAAAAATTCTCATTGATCTTGCTTCGGCCGTTGTGGTGGTGCCATTGCAGGTATTAAAATTTAAATGATTTTATTTCCACAGCTCATTGGTTTGGCTTTTATTATTTTTTATTTTTCCCGTTCAAGAATAGTGTTATTACTATTATTTTTATGCGTCCATTCGTTACAGCTACCGTAGCCGTTGTCAGGTAGTATGATGTGATTTCTTATTTGGTTAGTTAGCCTAGAATTTTTGTATAATTTTAGTTATGTTTGGATTGAATTGATTGATTGTGTTTTATTACAAATTGTGGTTTTTTAAATTTGTTTTTTATGTTTCATTCAATTAGAGTGGTTTTCTTTTTTTTAATTATGGAGTCTCAGGTTTTTTTTTCGTATATGGCCAATTATGAAGTGTGTCTTTTCTTTGTTTAATTGCTTTTGATTTTGTTTCATACTCCCAGTTGACCAATTATTATTATTATTATTATTATTATTATTATTATTATTATTATTATTATTTTATTTGCAAATGAAGCACGTTTCTTTTTTTGTGTTCGGGGTTTCAAGAATATACTTTTTTGGATTTGATTTTTAGACTTTTTTTAGTTCCTCATCATATAAATAGTTCAGGTCGCTTCTTTTAACTAATTTATGGAGAATCCTTTTATGAATTTGAGGTGGAGAGGGAAGGAATGATGTTTTTACATTTATTTGTGTTTTTAAACATCATTTTTACCTACAGAGAAAAATAAAAATTCTCAAATTTTAATAGGCTATCTTTTACTTTTTTTTTTATTTGCCATCGTGACGTGAGTTCTTTTTTGCTATAACTTGAAACCTATGCAAATTTATATTATTTTCATTCTCATATTTGTGATCAACCAGTTTCAATAATTAACCAGTTTCAAAATCATTTTTTGATATTTTACTACATGTAAACTTTTAGAAGAAATAGTTCCAACAATTAAGCGTATACCCTTTG